AGTTCATTTTTACCCAAAAAGATAACAAAAGAAGTATCACAAGGCACACACATAGAATTTGATAGGCACTACTAGTATAGAAAGGAAGATGGGTATCATAATCACAAATCTAAAAGCATGAGCCCCAAAAGAGTTTCAGTACTTATGTGTCTTAGAAATAGACATATAAAGACAAAAGCATTTGTAGTTATACTTAATTATAGAGAATAGAAAAATCTCATCTATAATAGCTTGTATTCCTAGAAAAAGAACAGTACAGGGTGAATTTTCCTTCCCTCATCAGGTGAGGTCGACCTTATTTATTTTCAATATGCAGGGATTCCACATTTGCACCATTTTGAAAGCTGGAGGAAAAGGAAGTTGGGCAATGCCTCTTTTAGGTTGGTAGCTGGAAAGAGAATTTAAGAAACTAAAATAGAAACAAAGCTTCACAACCCTAATCTTGGTCATAGATTCTGACAGATAAAATATAAATCAAAAGTGAGAGTAATGACAAGTGTTACCCACAAAAAGAAGAAAATAAAACTGCCAAATCTCAGGAGACAGAGCAGCACAGACAAACACAAAGGTTTGGAATTCTGGTTCTACTACATGATAGGGACAAATCACTTAACATCTCCTAGCCTCGACTTTCTCATCTGCAAAGCAGGTTTGTGGTGAGGACCTGCTGGGAGAACACACATAGAATGACTCTGTCAAGGGTAAATGGATAAAAATACAAGGTCAATCTCCACAATAACACAAGTCCAGAGGGGTTTCTATCACAAAGACAGTAGGGTGAATGCTATGCCCATCTTGTAAAGGCTAAGTCACAGGTTTCTGGAGAGATCCTGTAATCAGGAGACCCAAACCAGTGCCCCAAAGCTGAACATCCCGCTCCAGATAGAAATAATAGAGAAACATAACTAGGCAGGTGTTGGCCTAAAGGCAATTCAGCTTTGTACCTAGTGCCTTCCATTCAGTTGGCCTTAGGAATTTCTGTAGCCCCGAAAGTATCAAAGCTGGAGGTTTAATCTAGCTCCTGCCCTTTACTTTTCATTTTTCTGCTGAAAGCAGAGGTCTAAGAATGTGCAATGACTTGTTCAGGATCATCTGCTACTTCACACAGACTCAGGCTCACACCAAGGACTCAGGAGGCTTAGCCCAGTGTGATTTCCACCACACCACGCTGCCTCTTTAGAAGCAAGTTAAACATGCTTGCTATTTTGTTCCTCCAGAGATGTTATCCACAATGAAAAACTAAGAACTCACTCTAATCAGCAGACTTTTTAGGGATTACTGTGGGATTACTTGAGGCTATATGAGCTAATGTAATCAGCATGAGGCATGAGATTTAGTTAGAGGATCTGGGTTCAAACCCACTTCATCATCTTCCCAGATTGGCAAATCATTTAACTTTTTTAAGACTCGGTTTTCTCATCTGTAAAATGGAGATGACAGTTCTTACAGGGCTTTTGTGCAGATGAAATGGTTATCAAATAAAACTGTTGAAAGAAAAGTGTTCAAGAACAAAGATGCTGAAATTCTCAAGGGGAAAAAAAAGTCTCCAACAACAGAATTGGATATAAATTCTAAATAAATTAAATAAATAAATGCTAAATGTACAAATGAAGATGTTTTAAAAATAAACATAAAAATATTAAAAATGTAAAAAATTATTGCATAAAATAAGTTGGAAACTGGTCAGTTTATTGTCAAAATTAAAATATCACTGAAATATCATATTGTTTTGAAAATAATTTATATCAAAACAAATGCTTTTTGTCCTTCAAATCAGGCCCAGAGACATTTTAAGTTTATGACGCACAATACAGACTACTTTTGCCTTACTGATTTCATGAAGCTTTTAGTATTTGTGGAGTTATTACACTAATAAGGTATAAAAACATGATAAATTAAAACAAATTAAACATTGATAAGGTAGTTGATTATACTATTACCTTAACTTCAACTATTTCATAGTCATCTAACATGCGTAATGATGCTAACCTTTAGTTGAAGAGCACTGTTACATTTTAGAAAATGTAACCTCAAAAACCAGAAAAGTTGTTCAAGTTTTTGTACCATAACTTTCTCTACCCTTCTTTCCAATTAATGATTGGTTTTGGGTAATTAATGATTACCCAAAACATTTTTAGTACCCAAGTAAGTTTTAAAATGCTGCATACTCTATTGTAAATCTCCCCTTAGAGACTCACAATGTATACTGGCAAACAAAGGAGCTGTGGAGCCCGGTGATAGTTTTTCCTACCATCTGATCATGGACCTGTGTCAGTATCTACAGAAGGCACTGCCCTGCCCCACCCCACCCCATCCCACACACAGTAGGTTCCAGATTCGTAGAAATCCATGAATCTGCATGAGTCCCCAAATTTGGGGTATTAACAAGGTTGCAAACTTTTTGTTTTGCTATGTAAGAACATGTGAAAATCAACTATAGTTTTATGATACAAAGCATAAACAAAATGAAATAAAAACATGTAGGTGAAAGCCTTCTGGAAACTGCAAAATGCTCTGTAGATAGATTTAAATGATTTTTACAGTGATCTCTACTAGGTTTCCTAGAGAAAGAAAATAAATAAATGGTCATTAATAAATTATGGTAAAAGAACAGCCTTTTCCATAGGAAAAAAAATCTAAACTCTTTCTTTATCCATGAGTAGGAAGTACTCCCTGGAATTCTTTGAATAACCTGCCCCAGTACAGCATTTTCTGTCTGTATCCTCCAACAAGATGTCTGAGCTTCAGCAGGGACTACAGCTGTACCAGTCTTCACAGGCTCTGCCACCTTCTCTGTGGGTCTACCTTCTCTGACAAGCCACTCCTTGGTTGGGGGGCTATCCAGGCAACCAGAGATCTTTGGATCTACTGGCTAAATAATTCTGAGCCTCCTTAACACATTACCCAACTGCATACTTACATTATCTTAAGAAAAAACTCTCAGCATATTTTAAAACATAATAGGATAAAATACTGATTTAGCAGCTGTTTTAGTGGCTTTTTTAATGTTATGCTTTCATTTTCCATCTAATAATTTTATTTTTATTTCCAGCTGACTCAGAACCATGTAAATTTATTTGTAAAATATAAATGAGCAGTGAGACCACAGTGGTGTCCATGAGCTTTGTTCTCTGGAATAAGAGCCTCGTAAGAGGGTTTTATAGGCATTGTGGAGGCGAGGGAAAAGAAAGGGACATGTTCCAACCACCAGGCTGAGCTTCATGCATTACAGCTGAAGGACAGAGGTAATTATTCATCACCTCCTTCGGGACAGAGCTGTTCAGAGATACCTAAATGACTTCTCAACAAATTTGGGTTTGAAACTTCGAGCATCCCTGGCATACTCGGGGGTGGTAAGGGCCAATGAAGTACAGATCATTATCAAGCTCATGCATCCCCAGAGGTTTGTAAGGTCTGACACTGAAACCACTTTCACCAAAGCCCAATTCCAAGCCCTGGAACTGGTGAGTCTCCTACCTGGATTACCCTTCCACATTCCAAGGACGCTGCACAAAAGGCAAGCTCCTCACGTCACCTCTCCTTGCCTATTAACCCACTCCCATATTTTTACTTCCTTCCTGCCTTTCTCAATCTCCCTCCGATAACCTTTCCTTTGGGTCATCTGCAAACCTTCAAATCCTACTGGAAATATATGCCTTTATATCTTTAAGCTTTTTGCACAAAACCTCTACTTCTTCGGCTTAGCTGAATACCAATTTTTCTCCCATGAATGCAATTTCCCACATAGCACTCCTGAGCGAAGGCTTCTTGATCTCTCACATCCCCACCTGTAGGAAAAGCCTCTTCTCTGTTAAAGATGTGTTATCCAGTAACACCACTGTCCCCTGTGAACAGCAAGATTAGTGTCCCAGTTCACTGAGAAGCTAGAACATTCCTCCTCCTAGTTGTTGACGTCCATCTGGATGACTCAGCAAAGGCTGTGGCCTCACAGTTATGTTCCATTTTTTGAACATGTCCACAATGACTTTGTTTCAAAAATTTTAATGTAATATCACACTCCCTAGCCACAACCTCCTATCCCTCCAGCTCTGCCATCCCTTCTCATCTCTTACACTTGTTCTTGATGTCATCAATCTCCCTGAAATTTCTTCATGCCACCCTGCCTCTTACCTAAGGCTGTCACCCAGTTCAGCAGGTGGCCCCCTCCCCCGCACACTGCACAGTGACGACTGCCCCAACAAATCTCATGATGATCCTCTGCTTACAACCTTATCTTTTAGCGTCATCTGCATAATCTTATTGGTCCCAGGAAAGAAATTTCAACCATTATAACAAAAACTCATTTTCAAATGAATTAGAGAAAGAACAGTCTGGATTTTTAAGGAAATGTGTTTTAAACAGTTTTGAGTTCTACAGACACTACTGGCAGCCTGAAAAACAGTAATTGCTAGAGTCATTTTAAGGAAAAGATTAGGATGCTCTGTAATTAGCATATTAATTATTTATATGAAAATAACGGGTTCCATTGTTCTTATCACAAATTCTGAGTTAACAGGGATCATGAAATTGTACCATTCTAGAAAACAGACAAAAGGCTAAATAAATTCTATATTTTAACAAATTTTAGGCAACAGATTACTGAATGGCTTTAAGAAAAATTATTAAACTTTTTGAAAAGCATTTTTTTATTCCTCCAAATGGACACAATACTTATTTCTTCCTAAAAATGTTTGGGTGGACCAATCTAACAGGCGCTGTAACTACTTTCACACTCTCCTCAATTCCATGTTATATTAACCACACAAAAATAATGCTCAATAAGAGAAAATTTGGGTATAGCTACAGAATCAGATAGCTTTCTTAAGGGGTGATGTTTCTAATTTCTTTCTTTGAATAATTTTCTAAATAACTGGACCTAAATAAAAGTTTACTCTCAAACTAAAGTTGTAAACTGATGTCTAACATAAACCCTAGAAATGTTTATCCAGTAGTGAATCAACTCATTCAGTGTGCTCATATATTCAAGAAAGGATACTTACTTGCAAATTGTAGTCCTGTAATATTTTAACCAAGGAGTCTCTCAAATTGGGAATCTCCATTCCTTCCTTAATACGATGAATTAGTAGAATCGGGTCAACATGCGTGCCAATGTTGTTTAACAAGCCAGTAATAAATGCTACAAAATACCACATAAAGCAATTAACAAACAAACAATGTTATAATGCAATTTTATTTGCATATAATTTACACATAATGCAATTTAGACCAATAGTTATTTAAGAAATTATTTCCTTCAAAGTAAGTGTTAAAACCATTTGAATTTTTAAACTCTCAAGAACTAATCTTCAAAACTTTCAAGAATTTTCCTTAAGACATAAAGGAGAAACTAAATACAAAGTGCTTAAAAGCAGCAGAACAAATGATTACTTACCTTCAAAACAGTTTGCAGTGTCAAAGGGTTGCCACTAATACTGATTGAGAACTTACTATGGCTTAGCTATTCCACACTTTTTTCACTATTTTGAAATGTTGTGTTCCCATCTTACAAAGGGAAATGGGTGTGTAATTTGCCTCGAGTCACACAGCTGGCAGGTAATGAGCCCAAATTCAAACCCATGCCAGACCCAAGCTCATGATGTGTTCTATTATACCACTTTGCCTCTTAAGATCCTTAAACTACTACTTTATTACACTAACACTAGATTCCTTATATTTTCAAGGGGACAAAGTCATTAAAGTCAATTTCAGATTAAGGCAGTTAACAAACATAAAGCCTTTGAGGTGTTGGATTTTAAACCACTACTGCTAGTTATCTTTAAAAGAGGATCTGGGTTACTGTTAGCTGACTGCTTTTGTTTTTTTCTTTCCAAAATGGGAGAACTAAAGCAAATGGTCAAGCTGAGGGTCAACAAATGCAAACTTCTTGTGCTGCACTAATAAAACAGGGCAAGAAAGAGAGACTAAATACTATAATACAAACATTCACATACAGTCAACGTCTAGTAACAGTTATATGGTTCCATAAAGAGACTGTTAAGGTCTACACTTTCAAAAATAAATGCTCCTGTATACAGAGTAAAAACAAAACCAAAACCAAGATCAAGCCAACACAACCCAGATGACATTTATTCAATTTGGTTGCAGAAGGTAAAATACGCCTCATGGGGACACAGTTACCAAACTGTGTAGGCACCTGTTCTTTATCACATTCAGGTAATGCACAGTGATGGGGTTGCAGGCATCCCAGCTCAGGAGGAGTATTGGAAATCGTTACCACACAGCTGGCCTGTTTTTATTGTAGACACACTGTCATATTTTTAACCCAACGTATCTTAAGACAATTCTTACTCTAGACATAAACATAACAGGCTATACTGAGAGAAAAAAGCTACAATCACAGATGGCTTCTGTGCTTACGTGGTTTGTCGATGGAATATAAAATCAGATCCTCCCACAGTTCTCCATCATCTTGCTCCTTGGCAAATTCGATTGCTTTATCAACATCATGTAATTCCTCCATAATCATCTTCAGGGCACTTCGGCTATTACCCATTCGGCCTAGGTGGGGTGAGGATGTGACAACAAGTGCATTTAGAATATTTAAAGAAAAACATTTTTAAAAGAAATAGCATCTCTTAATTTGTTCACACAGTTTGAAAGCTAAGACAAAAACATTTTCTCATGTGACATCAGCATTTACTATCTATAACACAGCAAAACAAATAATGCCTATTTGCTGCTCATTTACTCTGTGCTGAGTACTCACTTAAGGGCTTCACATGAATTACATCATTTTATCATCACTATAATCCTATGAAGTATGTTCTACTCATATTCCTACTCTGTAGAAGAGGAAAAAGAAATGTTAGCAACGTGCTAAGATCATACAGCTACTAAATAGTACAGCAGGAATTTCAAGCCAGGTCTGTCAGACCCTGACTTCCTTCTGACAGACCTGTGTATTTTTTGGAGGTCAATACCTTCACATTCAGCCACAATTGGGACTTAAAGTCATTCTGCCTCATGAGGTGGCCTTGCATATTGCTATTCTGGTACACCTGTGCCAAGTGCAAACTCAGTTTTCAGAGTGCTGCCTGGTTTTCTTCTCTTTCAAGTTCAGGGAAAAGCCTTTCAATAACTGATGAGATGAAAGTATTTACCAACTATGCTTCTATTAATTATCTTATGTGTTTTGCTCATTAAAATGCTCATTGGCATTTTAATAGTTTGAACAATTTCCATGAGTTTTTAATACAGTACATGCAGAAAGCCTTACTCAGCGGAGGGACAGCGACTGTCTGGCTGTGCTATCACGCTCACCCCTGTCCCCTGCCTGTGCAGGAACTAATGAAGGATCTCTAGTCGTCCTCACTGTGAGTGGCCATTATCAACTGATGACAGCTGGCTTGTGAATAAAATGATACTCCACTTGATAGCCCTTCTGTAGCATTTTGTTTTTCTTGCAAGTATTAGTCCCACAGTTTGTATCTTTTAAACACAGTTATAACCTTTTAAATGTATATAGGATTTTAAAGTTTTTATACATTATTTCAATGGCATTTGTTAAACCAGGGGTCCTCAAGCTTTTTAAACAGGGGCCAGTTCACTGTCCCTCAGACTGCTGGAGAGTACACACTGTGGGCCCAGACGAGTCGGCTGCTAAGCAGGACAGGCAGCTGCGGCAAAAACACCCAGCCAGCGGGATAAACGTCCTAGGCAGGCGGCATGTGGCCCTGGGGCTGTAGTTTGAGGATGCTTGTGTTAAACCATTCTTCCTTATTTACTGTGCTGTGAAGTCTATTTTTAAATATTAAATTCTGGTACAAAATAGGCTCGAACTTCTGTGTTACTTTGGTCTAAAACCTACGTCCTTTCTTACACAATTTGCAACGTGTTATCATCCCATTTCTTAGCTTATGGCGACCAAAATGAAAAAAGCCACTTACTCAGAAGATAAACTGTTTCTTCCACAAAGTTCCTCTGTTGACAGATCTCAAGGGCCTTCAATTAAAGCAGGGTAAAAAAATGTTACTATGGGCTACCAAATGAGAACAAATATCAACAAAGTCACTTAACAAACTTGAAAGAATTTTTCTACTGCCATATTTGTTTTTTGTTTTTTGTTTTTTTCCAGACAGAGTCTCACTCTGTTGCCGGGGCCAGAGTGCCATGATGTCAGCCTAGCTCACAGCAACCTCAAACTCCTGGGCTTAAGTGATCCTCCTTTCTCAGCCTCCTGAGTAGCTGGGACTACAGGCATGTGTCACCATATTCGGCTAATTTTTTCTATGTATTTTTAGTTGTCTGGCTAATTTCTATTTTTTTTAGTACAGACGGGGTCTTGCTCTTGCTCAGGCTGGCTTCGAACTCCTGAGCTCAAGCGACTGTTTGTTTATTTATTTATTTTTTAGCAGTCACTTTTTAACCAAACCACTGTCTTTCTTTAGAAACAAAGCAAGCAGAAAACAAATCTCTTTAGGACTTACTGGTGGCTGTACTCACAGTTACCTCTCAGGGAGGTATTGGGCTCTACACAATTTAGTTGAAAACATATTTGAAGCAGAACATTCCATGAGCAAAGGCAGAAAACAACACCATGATGCTAAAATAAAGAATCTTTCCCACCAGGCATTCTCTCTTTATGTTACTTTAGATTTCTTCATAGTATTGCTTCCTACCAAATCTATGGTCATTTATTTAAGTTGTTTCCTTCTCCTAGAATGTAAGGAATGTTTTTCATTGTTGCATTATTGAGCAACATGCTCAGTAAACACCTGTTACATCAATGAATGGATGGATGAATGAATGAATATACTGGGAATATTTCTATTGCCAGCTCACAGGGTTTCAAAGAGAACTTTGCTCAAGGATTTGCCTAAAACGAGAGGGAAAAAAACAAAACTGAAGAACAAAAAAGAACAAAAAAAGAACAAACAACCAAGGGAAAACAATTCCCGGGGGAAAAAAAAAACCAAAAAACTACGTGTTGATAAATAACGCAATCATTCTAAATTAATTGGAACACATTTACTATATTCTCTGTGCTCAGTGCTAGAGGGTCAGGTTGGATAGAGATGCAAACATGATAATAATAAAAATGTCAATGATGATGACACATAAAAGGAGAACAAAGAAAAAAATAAAAGAGGCTTAGCAGGAGTGGAAGCAGCATGAGTCCACCCCTGGGAGATCTGTGTCCAGGGAGGGTGACAGAGATGTGACAATACAATATTCCACGATCAGGGGAAGATGAAAAAAGGGCCATATGCATAGAGAAGGGGCACTGTGGTCCTCTTATGAAAAGCTTCACAGAAGAGGTGGCATCTCAACTGTGTATAGTAAAATCAATGACCAGCAGGAAACCTTATCTCATACCCCCCTACATAAGCTTCCTGGCGTGCTGCTCCACTTAGACTTAAAGTAGAGAATCTGTACCACAACCACCAAGGCATCCAAGACCTAGTCCTGCCTTCCTGTGCGGACTGCCCTTCCTCTGCTCATCTTTTCATTGCATCCCTTTTCCTAAAAATGCTCCTCTCACTTCCCACTCTCCACTCCTGGCAAAGACTTCAGCCAAATATTCGCTTGGACTTCATGACTGGTCAGATCCCAGGAACTTTCTGCAGTTGAACCCTGCACATGGCTTACCAACACTTTCTCAGAGTTGCAATCAACTATTCATCTGATGATTTATTTGATTTCCCTCTGCTGAGACCATGTGCACTCTAAGCCCTGTGCTTTTCACAATGCCTGGCCCAAAGTAGGTGTGCAATAAATATTTTTAAAATAAATGAGCAGGTAGAAAAGGTTTTAGGAGAAGATTATTGAATTTCATATTTAGAAACAACCAGCCAAGGTTGTTTTAAAAACAAGGACCAAGGAGTTAAAAAGGATAGCTCAAGTTAATTAGCTCTTTTGGCTCAATGATCTTTCTTGGGAAATAACAGCAGGAGCTAGTTTTGATATTTTGACTTAAAATTTCTCTGTAGGCTATATATTTTAAATCAGTGTCTCTGGTTACCAGATAAACGGCAGAAAAAACCTGATCATACAGATCAATATAGCAAAAAAGAAAAAGAAAACATAAAAAAGGAAAAAAATCCCAAATATCACCTTACTTTAGAATTGCAATGAAACTAGGATGGCGTTTTAGAGCACAAACAGTATTTAAATAAGAAAATGAGAATAACTGAAGGTCACAATGAGGCGGAAATGCTTTGATGACTCACAAGACTCCCTTAAAAATTAGGTGGCAGAGAGAGCTAGTTGTTCCCTAGCCCCCACTATCCCTCTCCCATTTCTTTCATAGTAACAAGATTTTAGTTTGATATGTGACTGCCCAGAATTAAAAGGCAAAACATAACAAAAAAACTTTCCAGCCTCCACAGTGGTAGGGGAACCACATGACTAACGCCCACCACAGAGCTGAAGAAGAATGCAAAGTGGCAACTTCTGGAAGTTTGAAGCCACTGTGTGTGAACCTTTAGATTCCTTATTTGTAGTCCTTTCATCCAATTTGCTGCTGGAAATGTGGGCAGCAGCACCTCATATCACAAGGTCAAGTTTATGCAAGGTGGAGGACAAGAGAAAAGAGCCCTGGTCTCTGACTGAGTGGCATGCCAGACCCAGCAGGGCCACTACAGCAGGACTTCTATGTGACAGAAAACTAAACTGCTACTCTGTTTAAGCCGTGATTATTTTGGGATTTTCATCACTCATACCAGAATCGAATCCTAGTTAATACCTAGAAAATCCTCATTTGTTTTGATTAAAAACATGGTTTACTTATTCCTATAATGTCTCTCCCATTAATCATCGCTATAAACAATGAAACTTTCTTACCAACTCTTCACTCTTATGCAGTGATACTAATGCAGAAACGAGAAACACACTGGAGAAGTTAAACAGGAAGGGAAAAAAAATCTAAAGTCAGAGAACCTGGGACTATTCTAAGAAAAAAAAATCATTAAGAAATTTAGTGCCTAGATTTGTGCTGGGGCTGTTGATACAGATAGAATAACAGTTTACAGTGAAGTGAGACTGTGTCTCACTTCACAGAGAAACAACATTGTCATACAACTGAATTGGCAGAATGTTTAGAGAAAAATAGTCGGAATAATGGTGATTATTTATACTACTTAAAATAGTTTATTACTAAAAAGTAGCTATGAATCAATTTTGTACTTGGAAATTCACTTACATTTTAAAGTACGACTCAAAAATTTCAAACAGAACCATCCCCTCTTCCCATGCATATGAGAATGCTTGAGAACCTGCTTGTCTCAAACCACAAACAGAGTTTGCAGTTTGAAAACTCACCTGAGTTGTCCAATAGACAAGAGAGTAGCCATTGGCTTTAAGTTGCTATGTAAATTTAAATTGATTAAAATGAAATTAAAATTCAGATCCTTGGTAGCAATAGCCACATTTCAAATACTCAACTGCAAAATGTGGCTAGTGGCTACCATGTTGGTCATAGTAGATCATGAAATATCTTCATCACTGTGGAACATTCTACCGGACAGTGATGCTGTAGGTTTTTGTATATGCTATCAAAAATAAAAATGTATACTGGAAAAAATGTCTAGAGGAATTCTGAAGTTAAGAATGGTCTGGAATGCAAGAAGATATCTATTACCAAGTTCAAAGATAACGTGAATCTCTAAAACTTTAATTTCAGAGATTTTTAAATGTTTTATGACTAGTTTCTAATGTATCTTAAATCATCATCTTTGCATAAATAAGAAAGTAGAGACTCTAGAAACCTCTAGAAATTATATGTATAAAAATAAAGTATTTCTAGTTCATAAAACTTTCTGATTATTGATACAAATGAAGCCTAAAAGCATATTTCCTTATTTTAGACTTTTGAATGTTCCTGGACCATGGTGCACCCTCTAGAGGAAAGAGCAGGGAAACTAAGATTTTTTTTAAAGCAGAGACAAACACAAACACACAGACACAATTATACATGGAAAAGGAGAACAGTAGTAAAAATAAAAGTCAAAAGAGAATAATTGTAGAACTTGAGTGAAAATGATGAGAAAATAATTCTCTTCCTGATTTAGTACAAAGGTAAGGAAGTGACAAGTAAACATAAAAGAAATCAGTTTCTAAGATAAAGTGTATACATAGTTCTTATTTTTAAGGAAAAAGGAAAGAGAGTCTGCATGAGTTAATAAGTCATGAATACCTCCTCTAAGACAGTCTTGGGTACCTGAACAGGGCAGAGTATTATTTTTTTTTTTTTGTAAATATACATATTTCCACAATAGATCTTGATAACCAGATGATCTCTTACGAAGAAGTCTCCAAGGGTCTGTGATGTTCTCCTGCTTCCCTACTGGCTAGAGCAGGGTGTCTTCTGTTGAGCACTACTAGACCAGAACACTTTAAACTGGATAGGCTGAAAGTGGGGGAGGAACGTGAATAGCTGGGTAGCACCTCTGCACTTGTGCTTAGCGAATGAGAAGAATGAGCCCAGTATGGCTGTAAATCACTATGTGCGTGGCTCTGTATGAGTCAACTGGAGACTTCTAGAGAAGTCACATCCTCTCTACAAACATAGGACATTTCCTTAAAAAGTGAGATATGAATGAAGGAGCACTGCTAAAAGACAAGATTCTCACTCTATTACTAGATTATAAGGTCCTACAGTGAGAGAAGAGAACATCTGCATTTATTTTTAGAGTAAGATGATGCATTTCCAAATTTATTCTTCAGAAAACGTTTTTGCGCTCTAAATATAAAATGTTAAAGGTTTTTTATAAGTTAATACACAGGGGCAAGATATTTTTTTCATTAACTGTAGACATTAAAAATCCACTGAGCTGAAATTGCTTTGCGGTAAATCTCATACATTTAATACTGATCATTATGGGCTGAAGAAGTAATTATAAAATTTGTACATGTGCATAAACTGTGTTATCAATCAACTTCTTTATACATATCGCTTATGGGTCAGACGTGTTTCTTTAAAATTTTGTTTATAAACATAGCTGAGTAACAAGTATTTATCTGGCTATCCGAATTTAGTAAGACATTTATACATGTCAGATAGCATTAGATTTCAAGAACCATGGGAAATAGTGCTGTTGGCCTTAAGACTGCCCAGTTGTAAGCCCATACATAGTATTACAGTTTATTTTAAAACAGCAGTCTCATAAAACTTACTGGTCCATAATTAGCCCTAACTAAGACCTTGTATATGTTTAGTTTATTCATTCGCTCACTCATGATGCAACAGATATTTAGTAAATGTCTAATGTGTGCCAGGTACTAGGCTTATTAAAATGAGTAAGATAAACTCCTTGTTTCTGAGGAATTTACAGAAGAGTGAGAAAGAGAGACTAGAAAACAGTTATTATAATGGAATGGAATGTGCCAGAGAAATGCAGAAATACAAAAGGCAGATATTTAAAGCAGACAAAGCCAGGGTGGGGGGCGGTGTGTCTGTAATCCCAGCACTTAGGGAGGCTGAGGTGAGAGGATTGCTTGAGGCCAGGAGTACAATACCAACCCAGGCAACATACGGAGACCCTCTTTCTACAAAAATGAAAAAAAAAATTAGCCGGGGATGGTAGTGTATACCTGTAATCCCAGCTACTCAGGGGGCTGAGGCAGGAGGATCCCTTGAGCCCAGGAGTTCGGCTGCAGTGAACTATGACTACACCACTGAACTCCAGCCTGGGCAACAGAATGAGACCAAGAAAGAAAGAGAAGAAAAAAGAAAGAAAGAAAAGCAAGGAAGCAAGCAGACAGTGTTATAGCTTAGGACCTAAGCTATAATCAAGGTTTATCAACCAGATTCCTGACTGTAGCAATTGATTCTGGCTTTGGACAGTATGCCTTCCTCCCAGGCTCTAACACAGAGGTGCCACTCTGATCTTGGGAAACGGCAAATCCTGCTATCAGTTTTGCTTGATAGCTGATTGAGTCCTAGACCCTGGATTAAACTTTTCTTCCAATTACATCTGTCACAAAAATGCTTGTGCTTCTCACCAAAATCTAATCCAACAAGACCTCTTTTTCTCATCAGAATGTCCTGGCAAAACCTACTGTTTTGGGAGCAACAGTCTTTACCTTAGCTGGGGATGGATGAGCAGAGATAGGGAAAGAAGAACAACAAACAGCTTATCAACAATGACAACCTCTTTACCTGAAGTACACAAGTCAGGGAGCCTGTGCCTTACCTTTTCAAGCGGGCAGTGGGTACTATCTCGGAGAAAGGGAAGCAAGTTTGGTCGATCATATTCAGCATAAAGACTGATCTGTTTTTCATGGTAGCGCTGCCCCTTATGATGGTCTCTCTTGAAAAGCTTATGCAAATACTAAAAGGAACAAAGAATAGTCCATGAATATTAAGATAAAAAAAAGCAATACCCGGGCAGCATTGCTACTTTAGTTCTAAACAGCTCCCACAGAGAGGCTGGGGGAGAAGAAGTCCTTAGGAAAAATCTCTAGGTGATGGAGGAGTGGAAAACAGAATCTCTCTGGGAAGGCAGGACTGTGACTCAGTTTCTTTATCTGCAAAAATCTCATTGGGTTGTTTTGAGAATTAAACAAGTTGCCATTTGTAAACCACTGGGAACCATGCCTGGCATATAACTAAGCACTACAGAAATATTGATTATAATTGTTAATATTGTCACCATCATCTGCTTTGGCTAAGAAACAAGATGATTGATTAGTGGTTCTCCTAGATTATAAAAATTCTCTTCTATAAAAGGGGGTAGAGTCATGGGTTTAGCATTTGTTCTTCAAAATTCAAGTAGCAGGTGTTAAATTAATTCTCATACATTCCACATTCTCTTCTTTGTTGAGTCTTGAAATGCTGCCTATACTGGTGACATCAAAAACAAAAATAAAAACTAAAAATAAAGAATACAGGTGTTCTGAACCAATTTTCAAAATTGATTCATTACCCTACCTGTCTGAAAAAGTTAATGGACTTCAAAGGAAGTAAGTAATTGACTTTCTACTCACAGGAAAGATGATCAATATCATACTCAGATGTTAGAAAACAGTGTTCAATGTTTAATGTTCAATGTAAACAAAACCCTCACAACCTACTGAGGGCAGGAAGACTTAATCATACTGAACACATAAAGTGCACTCACACCTTGAGTGGCTGTATCCAAGTGGATTGGTTCATAATAAACACAGGGCCTCGGTGTGCCCCTGAAGCTGTGATTGTAAATGAGTGAGCTGATGATGTTTGATATTTGCTGTTGTACACAGCCACAAACAAGCCTGACCATCACATATGCACCTTAAAGAACCCCTGTGCAGCTAACTGTTCACATATCCCTAAGGCAAGACAGAGAGGCAGGAGCAGCGAGACTGGACTCATCTGCCAGGCCGAGGTGCAATGAAGACCCCCACCAGTCTACTGGCACTGGGGTCAGTGTGTGAGCTGGGATACACGGTGCTGTTCCCCAGAGCACAAACAAGACAGGGAGGCTCTGTCACCTCTGCCGAGTCAAATTTATATAGATGATACACTGCCTGGGCAGGGAAGATGAGCCATTTCAGTGCGGGATCTGCCACCATCTCACCATTAAACTGATTACACCGTCACACAGATAGCTACTGCCTATAATCCTGTCTCGTGGCTTAAGTAGGTCAGAAATCACTGCTTTATAAATGAAAGGTGGCCAGCAGTGTGAAGCCTTGCTTGGGTAAGCAGATAATCTTGAGATTTCTAATCATGGCGATATAGCAATAGCATCTGCACAGCAAAAGAATAAAAAAGTGCCTCACATTCCTATCCTTGAGTATTCAAAAGCTTCAATGTATAAAACTGAATTTTGAATAAAACACTTTATTCCCTGAGCCTCCTCTTGGGGTGCAAAGAGATAGGCAAAGACACAAGTATTCATTGTATCTGATACCCACAGTCCTACTGGTGTAATCCCTGTCTACTGAAGCCTTTTCTTGCATAAATTTTACAGGACATAGAAAACATCTACTCCTACTTTATTCCCATGATTATACAAAGCAAAGAATCAAAGGAGCCCCCAAGAAAATCTAGAATAGTGGGCCTTAGTAGCACAACCACCAAGACTGCACGAGAGAAGTGAGATTAGCTATTGCCAGGGTGAGGAACAAAAAAAAAAAAAAGAGGCTCTACTTATTTTTTTATCACTCTGTAGTCCTAAACCCAGACGAATGTATGGTATTTCCTTGACAGGAGAACTTGGTATCTGCAGAGCACTACTATCTTTGCTGTAATTTATGCCATGATTGTACTTAATGGTAACTACGGGGGTGGGGGTGCTTACTCTTAGGCACACTATAACACAAAAAATTCATTATAATTATATATATATAATTATAATATTATGTTATAGTTATATATAATATATACATAATGTTTTTCATCACAAATTCAATTGTGAGTCAAAATGCAAGTGCCTGATCTGGAATTAATCCTAACCTCAGATTCACAGTATACGTCACATTTTAATCATTAGCAAACATTGTTTGTGGTCAAACCTCAATCTGAGTATTCACCTCCTTGAAGAGTTCACTGCAGTATCCTCACACCAGTACTGCAGGGTGATTCATCCACCAACAATCAAAAGGCAAAAGAAGGAGACTGCCATGCTTACCACGTGCTGCAACTCCGGTCTGTCTTCTAATTCTTCCACCACCTTTTTAATCTAGGGAAAAAGAAGAGTTTAAATGTGGAGTTATGAGGACATAAACACAGCTGCCAATTATCTGATAAACATCTTTCTCTTTATGGCTACAGTAGTCCCAAACATTCATCTGATAACACACAATAAAACAAAAAGCACTCACTGAAATTTTATCTTCATTGTCCAAAAGCATGTCAACAGCTTTCTGAAACATAAAAATAAGCCAGTCATTGAAATCTGCTATTTAAGAAGACTAAACGCAATGCCATGCAATAGCTACCACAGTCAAAGGTAGAGAGCTCATTTTCTATACTTAAAGAGGCCTTAGCTTTACAATGGCCCTTATGTAATAAAACGATATTTGTAAAGAAATGAATTTTCAAATGTGTCTCAGTCTGAGGCCTATGTGTTTTTGCATACTGCTAAAATGGTGCCTGGCTATAACTTAGCAAACACAAACAAATCTGACTATATGTATTTAGGCCCTTGACGTCTCAGATATCTTCACAAGTTCTCACGTGACTCTCAGTAGTTATGGAGAGCATCTCTTTATCAGTACCATGAAAACGGAGCTTCCCTTTTTACCTACAACTTGACCAAGCTGTCCTCTGAGATTTCACAGACATAAGGAGCTGGTCCTTATATGGAGAAGGGACAAGAGCCAGGAAAGGAATGAGACACCTGAAGTTTCACAATGATATGAACCTCATGGACTTTTAGAACTTACTTTAACCTTTTACCATTCAGGAACACAAATTAGATAGTTTATGACAAGAGGTAGTGGAAGACAGCCCACAGGCTGAGGCTCACACAGAACACCTGGGTCCTGCTTGCAACTGCTGCCTCCCAGCTGTCTGCT